GGAGCCCAATATAATGGCCTCGCTGTAGGGATGCAAGGATAGAAGGTGGTTTTGGATATTTCTAGCCATGGCAACTAATAAAATGGGTATTTTTAGTCCTAGAGTAGTTAAATCAAGTTGAAAGCTAATCGCAAAAAACCGTTTTTTATATAATTAGGCAGTACCTTCATCATAAGATACTATTTGCAGCATATTATAAGGGCGCACGAATTTTCATAAATTGACTTCTGCAATTGCTACTATTACTAATGAGGAGATATACGAATTCCCGAAATTACTAGGGCTATTAATTTATCTATGGACCAAGTCGATATAGAATATATAGTAGATTGTTCAAACTTGTTGCTATTTACTTTCATGCCGATTCTTATGCTTTTGTTACCAGGAAGACCATAGATAACTTTCCATTTAAATTTGGCAATGGTAAGACAGTAGTTACAGTCATGACTGGTCAGGCATTGTGAACCTCGAATAAAATGACTCTACTCTCGTGCGTGTAGGTTTTTCTTGAAAGATGCTCAATAAATGACACTAAAAAAACAAATAATAATAATAATATCAAAGACACATTTTGATTACTTTTTGAATTAATTTTTAAAATAATTTTTGAGACTGGTTTTTTACCGTTATCGAATAGTCTGCCATTATAGATATGCAATTCACTCGCGCGTGAGAGTATAAGTACGTTACAAAGCAATTTTTTATTTTTTGCGGTTTTTTCGTATTCTCAGTTTTTTGCTCCACCTATCCAGTGCGTGTTAGCACGTGCTTGCAAGAGAGAATTGAGCAGTGGTGTATGGTAAGAACGGAATATTGGACTGCAGGAGCGGAATTGTGGACTGCGTAACAGAAACGGAACAACGGATTCTGTTTCTCCAACGAAACAAAGAATCATATAATTCGTTCATATAGTCACGTATGATATTATATGGTTACGAAATTTCGTGTACATGTGCACGAATATTTTATTACACTTTTAATTGTAATTCAAAAATAGACTCGCATGTACGTATGCCACACTGACGAGATACAAATAATACATATGTATAGGTGTGTCCACACATCCATACAGGTATAAGACAATGCGACGTCATTTGTTGCTTGTACATTTTAACCATAGCTACAATACGCCATCTACGTGCATGACGGAAAACTTGTTGAGCCCAGCTAAGCTAGTATTTCAAAAAATCGATACATGAAACAATAGCTTGTCCAAACAAAATAAAAAAGTGTAAGAATCAGGACTCGGTAACAGTCGTGACACAAAAAAAGCAAGCAAACACCTATGCTTATGTATTTTTAAAAAAAAAAAAAAAAAAAAAAAAATTGAAGTAAGAAAGCTTATGCAATTCTGAACAAATTGACCTCCAAAAAAGTATAGGTTTATGTGCTTGATAAAAAAATATTAAGATAAATATAAAAAGTCAGTGTGCTGCCTCATGCTAAGTGTATGAAAGTCGCTTTTATAAGTTGACTGTAGTATCAAAAAAGCTGAAACTTGATGTACAAGTACTTGTAACACATTGGAAAATCTTAATTTGTAAAAATATTTTCGATTCTCAAAACTTTTTCACGTTTTTGATTGGTCGAAGTTGCGAGTTTTTGTTCGTTTCAGGTTAATATTATAATTTCCCGAATGAAAAAACAAACACATTGATTTAGAAGCTGAGATCACATCATATTTTGAAAATATTAAATGTATCCGTTAAAGCACTAGAGAATTGAAAATGGATCTCCTTCTAATCAATGATCCTCCAAATCGCTCAAAATACTAAAATCTATTTACTCACCAGTTGTGTCGTTCTCCGGGACATCAAGGTCGTCTTTTTCGTTTTCTATAATACTATCTGGAGGCAACACCTCCTCGTAAAAAGTAATCGCAGATCCATAAATTTTCTGTGCCGCATTGGCCACGGTCAAAACGAACGTCGAGAAAACGGGCCTGGGCTTGCTCGCGATTTTCGGCCAGCACTCGATCGTCGCTTTCATCGGCAAGCAAAACAAGGCCACGTCCTTTTGAAAACCAAAACTATCGTAGTCAGTCGTGGGGTACTTGTACAAAATTTCCGGCTCGAACGAGATCAAATTGGCCCGGTTCATCGACTTTTTGTAACACAAGTAAACGTCACTGCCGAGCAGACCCTTGTTCAAATTTTTCGGTATCACGCAAAACGCGTGAGGCGGCGTTTCTCCCTTGTTTACCAGAATAACACAAATGTCCGTTACCACCAAGGAATTGCAGGGCATTTTTTTACTCGCCCGCCGGTAAGTCACGAATATCCTTGCCGTCGAATTGTTCACGTTAGCCACCAGGCCGGACGGTGTGTGCTTCACGATTTCCGCATCCTTCATTATTCGCTCCTTTCCATCGTATAGAACGCCTGAAATATTTTTATAAATTTTTAACAACTTTTGTCGGCAAGAAGTGCCAGAAATATATATTAACAAATTTCATGATAACTTGTATCTACTGCTTGAAAGTAACGGAAACCACATTTCGTTTGATGCGATGGACCTTGGTTTACGAGTGATATGGCCAAAATCGCTTGAAATCATCAAGAATGTCGTGCGAACTTTGGAAAATGTAGTTTAACTACTTGATCTAACACCGTTAGAAACATTTTCAAATTTTAAAAGGAATTTAAGTGCCATTTGTATGTTGAATTTCATAATTTCGATTCTTAAAACAAGTTAATACACATTGTTACAACATTTCATAGCAAAGTATGGATTTCATGGAACATGGTATTAAATTCTATAAGTGAAAGTATTAATTTTTATAATTTATCATAAATTTTGCGTAGTAATGGTTCCAAACTATTTTTATGAAATTTCATAAACCCTTTCCTATAACAGTGAACGTAATAAAAAAACTCGGTATTTTATACATGTATATGTCATATGGATCGAAAGTTGTAAAAAAATCAAGGTCAAGGCTCAAGAATCGGTGAATGTCCCGAATAGGCGACGAAAACACAGTGCATCTTTTATAACTTTCGATCCATGCAACACTTCTAAAATCAATAAATCTTATTTCACTTATTCGAATACATCGCGAACTAGGTTACATTAAAAATATTTTTCATGGTTTTGAAGTATAACATTGATCATATTTTTTCAGTAAACCAAGGCCCTTTTAAATAGTTTGTGCCATTTCCCGGCATGAAAAACCTTTTTCTTGATTAAAATCTGTTCCCCCCACACCCGATTGTTCTTCCCGTAAGAAGGTACCAACCGTCATAGCAATGTATATTTACCGATGTCGACCAGCGGTGGTTTGTCCCTGCCCCTTCGAAAACACAAGTAACACTCTTCGCTCCTCAAACTGCCGTGGTTCAGGTCCGCCTTGAATCCAGTGACCGTGTACTCGAGCAGAGTAAAGCCTTCGGGGCAGGTTTCTCCGAGCGCCGGGAAAATGATCGCCAGATCGGTGATCGGCGCCAGCACGTTCGTGTCCTTGAGATACGTGTCCTCCTGACTCCAGTCTTTCAGCTTCGACCCGTTCTCGTCGTCGTCGTCCTGGTCCGGCAGGCCAACGACGACGAAGTAATCCGCCACACGGCGCTCGTCCATTGCTCCCTTATATTTACCTTCCTCTATTTGCCTCCAAACACCCGCCCCTTCGTTGTTTTTCTCCTCAGGACAGCAGCTCTTTCAGCAAAGTGGCGACAGGATGAAATGTCTTATCATGTCGCAAGCATGATCGGTCGGCCGCGCGGGCTTACATCACGCGTCGTGTATTTACATAATAAAAAGTAATAAAAAAAAAATAAAAAAAGTGGTCGGCTGGAATTTATCGCCGATGCAGCCACCGTCCTGATATCCATATCGACGCTTGCACCAACGGCATCCACATATATTATGTATATATTTTCAAGTATGGACAAGACGAGGAGAATCTCGATACTCACTGCGGCATATTCAATTATTTTATTCTAAATCTTCAATTGGCTCTTGGGGGGAAAAGAAAAAAATCAATTCCTGTCTGTTTGTATCATCGAATGCCAGTCCAATGACGTTTACCGTCATCTGTTGGTGCTGCTTTTTTTTGTATCGTTCCCTCGCCTACACTTATTCCATTATCTTTTTTTTTTTTTATTCTCACTAGGTCCTCTCTCTGCTGTTCTATTGCAGTACACCAGAGGAGCTCGTTGTTTTTTTTTAAGGCGGAATATAGTGCAACATAACCTTAGTTCGATTCTTTGACTATTTTTTTTCTCTCTCTTTCGTGTGACGGGTACACTTTTTTTTTTTTTTTTNTCAGTTGAAAACTTATAAATCTAAGCGCTAATATATTACTATTTATAACATTAAAACTAACAACTTTGGAACGTCATAACTATCAGAGTTCACATTGCAAAATCGTTCAATAGGTAACATTGTAAAAGATGTATGTATTGTATATATATTAATCAAACAATTTGCATTGTAAAAACAACTCTTATCTTTTTACATACTATTTCACACGAAAATGAGTATTTATCATTTCGACTCACCCAAAGCTAAGCTTGAGACTGGACCCAATGCTGGATAAGCTTGAAGTTACGCTGTCTTTATTTTGAGACCAAATGCTTCCTATTTCAAGCCGTTCTTGTTCACGTTCTTGCTCAACCCCCTGTACCGAATGTGGCATCGTTTCACTGCGTTGTAGGTGACCACCTATGCTTATGTTGCTGCATTCTTCTCCCGCTTGATGGAAAGTTGCACTTCGAGGTATAATATTGCTGATGACAGAAAAAAAGTTTTTCCATGTTGATAAAGCTCGACCGGACACTGCTATTAATTTATTTTTGTTCCTTTTTTAAGTTCATACCTGCGAAAAAGTAAAGGACCACCAGGTCTGTTGTCATCGATCACATTGTTTAGGACGGTTAGTGTGCTCGTTGAGCAGTTTGAATCGTTTTCTTCGCAAGGCGACACTATTGGCGTGTCATCGTTGGCTAGAGCACCCAGTGGGTCGTTTTCTGTCACTGGGGTTCTCACGGGACTTTTTACAGGAGACTCTATACTTCTTATTAAGCTGAAATGAAGTAATCAATAATAAAAAAAAACTTTTGTTCCAATCAATAAAATTTGGCGTTGATTTACGAGTTAATTGTATGTACCGAGGATCACTCGGTGAGCGGTTGAGAGCTTCCGGTTGCGAATTACAAATGTTAGCCGTGTCTTTGACTATGCTATTTTGTCTCGGGAGTTGTTTTTTCTTTTCGTTCATCCCAAACGTAGGGAGATCGGGTATAGAACTATCTTTTAGAGCTAGTTCGAAAATTAAAAAAGCATCACATTATAAAAAACACTTGGGACAATTTTCCATACGTTTTCATGAACTTACAGTCACTGTGGGCAGCTTCGGTGTCTTGCGAGTGTGTGCTGTCGAGACTCGACCGAGAGATCGCGTGTTCCATATTCTGGACTTTTATATCGTCACCGGAGAGTAAAGCCTCATTGTTCGAACTTAGACGACGCCTGGCAGTCTTTTTTCCAGCTTTTTTAAATAGAGCCGCACCCACGATCACGTTCCGCAGTTTGTTCCACATCAACTGACTCGAATTCGTCATGTCGGAGGGCCACGTTGCTTCCAGGACGGCCTGCATCATTTGTTTTCATGAATCCAGTTCTATCATAATTCCAAAGTCTAATAACGTATGGCTTACTTTGTTGTAGAATCCATACGTAAGTGCATTTGGTTGAACGCCGCTTCGCTTCATGTGAAAAAGTAATTTGACGGCAAGTAACGGCTGCTCATACACTCCACACAGTTGCATCATTGCACGATAACAAACCTATAAGGATTCAATGTCTTTGAATTATATTGTTCTACAGTTCAATCCTTCACATGACTGATTATCCAAATACAACGCACCTCCTCAATGGGGTTTAAACGAAGTTTTTGCATTTTCACCAGTAATTCATAAGCTTGGTGCAAAACGTTGGCAGGTTGAGTGGACACTTGCAACATGGCCGGTAAGTGCAAAAACCACAAACTAAAACAAGTGTTGAGCAAACAGCGACCCCAGCGTTCTGGTAAAGCGGCCTGAAAAATTTAACATTATGACATCGACACCTTATTTTGTAAATCAATGGACGACCTGTTGAACGTTTCAAATGTACCTGCTTACGAGCCATTCTTTGGGCTACTTTGATTTCGTGCTTTGTCCTGCGAGCCATGGGACTGCCGGGAGTCATGCTGAACGAATTGAATGCTGGATTTTTCAAAATAAAGCTCTTCTGTGGACGCATGAGCTTCGTGTCTAGCTTGAAAGTGTCGTACACTATGGGTGGCTGATTGAGTCCTGGTTCAGGTGGTGGTATGAAAACTGTTCTTTCGCTGTGTTGCGATTCGTCCAATTCCAAAAGCATCACTGAAATTTCGAGATGATTCATCATCGTTGAACATTATTGGGTTTAATGTCAGCTTACCATTTTCCTCCTCGACCCTTTCGGTACATTCGTCGAAAAAGACAAGGCCAGCCATGTCCATGTCGGAGTCGAAAGTTCGTTTTTCAATGAACCTGATGAGAGTAAAATACAACTTATTTGCACTTGATGACATTTATCTCAAACCAATATGGCTTTACCTTGTAAACATCTGCGTGCCGACGAGCATACTGTAAAACTTGGCGTGAGTTTTATCTCGACTTCTCAAAAAGTCGTCTTCTTTGAAAAGCTTTTTTATGTCTGTGGTGCCCACAGTGGGCGCCTTAGTGATCGGTAGTAGGTACGACCGGTAGCCCTTCAATATCATCGCCATAAATCGCAAAAACGCGTCCTGAATCTCGAGCTCCAAGCCCTGCTCCCTGCGCTTCTGCTGAAACTCTCTATCCACACTAAAGTCTCTATCGTCAAAATTACCCGAAAGTTCCTCCTGTTGGTGATCGCGATTGATAGACAACAGCTTCAGGTATATTCTTTCGAGGGTATTCTTGAGTAACCGTCCGGGTTTTTTGGGCAATAGTTTAATGCTCAAGTGACGTTTGTCCTCGCAGATGGCGATGTTGTTGGTGTCGAGGTTGACGCAGTTGACGTCGTTGGGAAGGTCGCAAAGATCAAAGAAACGCGAATCGACACCAATGAGGAAGGGCATGGGCGCGTGGATTATCCCGGCCAAGCTGAGCGGACAGAGTGGAATGTAGGGGAGTTGCCACTTGAGTGGAAACAGAATCATGGCTATGGCTTCGCTCACCGACGTAAGTACGTCCGGGCGCAACGAGTGCACGAGGATCTTCTGTTCGGTCAGGGTCAACAGTAGTATCAGCAAACAGTTGTCAGCTCCTGCAATTCGGGAAGAAGAAAAATGGTAATTCTCTAGTAGGGAGGGATGAGAAAAAAAAGTGCTTGACGGTGCAGACCTAAGTTGAGGAGCAACTGCCTGAAACTGGCGCCCGAACGGGGAAGGGCCAAGTCCTCGGGTTGGGTGAGAATCAGTCGGTCGTGGGAGCTCAGCTGCACCAAGATCCGGGGCCTCTGGGGGCTCGGGAAGGGTATGTCGCAAAGGAAGTACGATATGTACTTCTCGATGGGCACACCTTGGGGCTCGCCGTTCACGAGGCTGTGCAGGAAGTTGAGGAAACGCTCGAACGTGTCGAAAAATGGCCAGTGCGACAGGATGCATATGGACTTGCTTATGTTCAGGGACTGACTGGATGGATCGTTGTATTGCAGCTTGTCGAGCTGCGCTTGGTTCAGCTTTTTCAATATGCCAAACTTTTTGAATGGCTCAGTCTTCGCATTTGGCTTGGAGTTACTTGTTTTGGACGGCTCCGTTGTTTGTTCTAGAAGAAACATTATCAATTTTACATTGCAATCAATAATATACAGATGATCAATTATAAATCGCTTTAACATTTCTGTGGGTTATTTGTGTACACATTATAATATGTACTCGTGTAATATTAGCACTCTGTTGTAGTTTCTTGCCTTACGATTACCATTTGGGGTGTTTTCCAGTTTGAATATCAAAGAATTTTTGTCTCTAAAATTTGTTACTGTGAATTTATAAATCATTCCATACGACGTAAACAAAGCAATTCGTTTCGGTTGTAAGAAGTGATACTTTCACTGACAATAAAAATTTTATGCGATTTTCACATAAAAAATATGGGAAACACTGTTGTGCGTTAGGAAAAGTATCCTATTATGGACTACCAAAAATAATTAAAAGTGACGGTGAAAAAAAAATAGTAGCTAACAGTGTCCCAATTTCATCGTTTGTAGTTCTTTTATCTGTTTACAGTTAGAATTTTTTTTTGTTTTTTTTCTGACTTTTTAGGGGAAGCAACACTTGACAATTTTCTCAAAGTCAACAATATACTTATATACATTACTAATACAATATACTATTATATAATTACTGAGATAGTTAATCTCAGATAATTCTGAAACAAAAATGTTGGTGCACGAAGTAT